TTTTTTTTTTTTTTTTTTTTTTTTTTTTTTTTTGAAAATAAGCAATGGAGTTCTTATCAATCTCTGTCCATCATCTAATATTTTGTTTCTGTTTTGTTTGCGTAGTGGCTGATATTTTGGCAGATATTTTGATTAATGAGTAGGAGTATATATCTCTTATTTTCTTGACTTGAAGGGAATTTCATTAAGATTTTTATATATATATACATATATATTAGAAGATTAGTTATTTAACATCATAAAAATTTAAATATTTAATCTTAATCACAAATTAAAAATTTAACCATACACATATTTTGAGGTAGTATATTTATAATATATAAATAACAATTCCTCAAAAATAATATATAAATAGCAATTATTTTTTTTATTAAAATAAAACTATTTAATAAGAACTAGTATAAATGTAGTGAGACTAGTATAAATGTACAATTAAATTGGAATAGAGAGAGTACAATAATTAGTTTGTTGCCAACGATCTAAATAATTCAGTGCTAATCTTTTTTTGTTGAAAATAAAAGGATTCTAAATTTGAATAACATGATATAAGGGTGAGATAAAGTAAAAAAAAAAAATTGCATCTCATTATGCAACTAAAAAAAAGAACAATTAGCATGTTGTGTGATGCTCATCTCCTTGTACTTAAGAGCAACCCAGTTTGGGTGTGCCATTGGGTGCAAATCCACATAGAATAGACACATGGAAACCCCTAATTGAGATGTTCAAAAGAATGCTCTCAGTATGGAAAGGAAGATTCTTGTCTCTCGGTGGAAGAATCACTCTCATTAACTTTATGTTGTCTAGTTTAACAATGTTTTTGATGTCGTTCTATCTTCTCCCTAAACAAGTAATTTGTGAACTTGATAAAATTAGGAGGAATTTCTTGTGGGGAGGCATTGAGGAAGGTAGAAAGATTCCGTGCGTGTCTTGGGATAGGATCTGTTGTAGTAAAAAAGAGGGAAGCTTAGGGTAAAAAATTTGAGATAGTTCATGGCCTTGCTTGGTAAATGGTGGGTGAGATTAATAGGGGGTGAGAAGGGCTTGTGGTCTAGCGTACTATTAGAAAAATATGGTGGCAAGGAGGGAAATTGGTTATCATGCTTGAGGGAGGGTCGGGGCTTAGGATCATCTTGGTGGAATGGTGTTTGTAAATTGAATGCAGGCTTAGGTAGTAAGGATGGGTGGTTGGTTTTAAATTTCAATCTGAATTTGGGTGATGGGAAGAGTTCTAGGTTCTGGATAGATGCATGGGTGGGTGGAGATTCACTGGCTAATGTTTTCCCTAGACTTTTTTTGTTGGCTACAGAAAAAAATGGCAGCATCTATGTATGGGACAATGGACAGATGGATGTTGGGTTTAAAGGTTCCATTGGAAAAGACCACTTCAAGCTTGAGAAGAGGACAAATTGCAACAATTGATCAAGGCTATAAAACAAAAAAAAGCTAGTGCAAGATGTGAAGGACACTTGGAGTTGGAGGCTAGACGCCAAGGGAAAATATACCACAAGGTTGGCCTACTAGCGGCTTGCAAAGAAAGATGAAAACAAGTTGTTAGTACAAAAAACTGAAGGGTGCACAGGTCCCATCAAAAGTGAGTGCTTTTCATGGCAACTGCTTCTAGATAGAATTCCTACAAAGGTTAACTTGGCAATGTGTGGGATTTTAGATGATAATCAAAGTATAAAGTGTTTTTGGTGTGATCAATTTCTTGAAAATACAGATCATCTTTTTGTGTCTTACAACATCTCTTTCAAATTATGGACAAAGTATCTTAACTAGTGGGGGTTACATTATGTTCTTAGGAACACTTGCTTGGATGTTTTCAACCAGCACAGATGACACAAGGGCTCAAAAATTTTGAAAAAAGGTTGGAACATGTTATGGTTTATCATAGTGTGGTAATTGTGGTTGAGTAGAAACGAAATTGTTTTTCAACACAAGAAGCTTAATGAGGATAAGTTGTTTGAACTTGCACAAACCCGTTCATTTCACTGGGTTAGAATTCTATTGAACCTAGAAAATTTTTCTTTCATGAAATGGATTTCTAATCTAGTGAGATACCTGACAAATAGGAAATAGAGGCTTGATGGGGAGCTGGATTCGAAGATGCTATGTTTGGACTGTTTTTTGTTTTTGGTATTTTGAACCTCTTCTCCGCCTTTAGTTTTACATACTGATGTTCATAGGTTTAAATACCCTTTGTA